GCAGCACTGTTGTATTTTATACATATCTTTGTGAAAAAGACCAATCTTTCCATAACAAAACATCACAATTAATAATATGTTCAACATTAAAAGCACTGAGATTGTTTTTTTTTTTTGACGAACGTGTTGAAGAAGCAGCTGGTGTGTACAGTGCCTTGTCATTTAGGACAACATTGGATCATTCAGAGATCCTCGCTGAACTTCTGGAGTGAGTTTGCTGCACTGAAAGTAAAGGAGCCGAATAATTTTGCACGCACCACTTTTCAGTTTTTTATTTGCTAAAAAAGTTTCAAATATCCAATAGATTTCGTTCCACTTCACAATCGTGTCTCACTTATTGGTGATTCTTCACAAAAAAAATAAATTTTATATCTTTATGTTTGTAGCCTGAAATGTGGCAAAAGGTTGAAAAGTTCAAGGGGGCCGAATACTTTCGCAAGGCACTGTAAGTAGTTACGTCAGTGTGTAGCGTTTCAGCGATAGCTGCGTGTGTGGTTTAGAGTCTTTACCTGCGGCTGTGTTTAAACTGAAGTCTGCCACGCCTTGGCATGGCATCTAGAGTGAAATGTACAGTACATTTTAAAGTGCTTTCTGTCTATAGTACAGAATATTTCTCACTTTCAAACATTTTAACTCAAAAGGTTAATCTGTAAATTTCCATGTTGTGTTAAATATTAAGTGTAGTGAGTTAAACAGACTTGGTATTTGCCTATAGTTTACAGATTAATACTAGATTCGAGAAGATTAAGGTTAACAGCTAGATTATTGTTTGAGATCAATATTCTTAGTGTTGGACACTACTGGTTAATTCTGAAAGGATTTAATCAGGGCTGAAAATCTGTATACAATATATTAATTACCAGAAACTTTAGTGGCCTCAACATAAATGGATTACGACAGCGGTTTTGTATTCTTGGCCACTTTGCTGATAGCGTTCTTGCATTTTTTTTAAATGTACATTTCAGCTGTTTTAAATCTGTGCTGGATGTTTTTAGCACTGGTTGATTTTTCCTGCTTTATATGTGCATGTATTTCTGATGCTTTGTCACTCCTTCTCTCTATATCTCTAGGCATAAAGGCAGACATTTGGAAATGCCAATCAGCCTACAACGCAGTGAACATAGCCTTAGCTGCCTTGTTTAGGCCTCTGTAGTGAACCTGCTTATATTAAAATCAATTCAGTAGCTCTTTTAACAATAGCAATAACACTGTCACAAAGTGTAGACTCAAAGTGTCTTTACGGAAATCTAGGTGTAGATTTAGATCCATAATGAGCAAGACAGAGGCGAGAGTGAAAAACAAAAATTCCCTGAGACAACATGAAGAAGAAATCCGAAAGGAACCAGGAATCATAATGGTATACAGATGTATACTGGTCTAAGTGTGTTAAAAGTAAGAACATATTGTAGATATGGGTCCTGGGATGAGCACAGGATGATTACAATAGCAGCTCAAATCCAGGTAAATCTACTGAAACACAGCGGGTGAGACCTGGCATATGGTGTTTATGTCAAAGTTAATATTAAATATGGTGAATTAAAGTCACTGCTTCTCTCCACCTGGACTGATAAGTGGCTAATCGTGTGTGCGTTCTTTTCACCTTTTCCCAGATTATGGCACACCTAATAGGCATCACCTTGATTCTGATCTGCATCTGCATTATGCCGCACGTCCTGCAGGTGAATGCTCAGGCCAAGAAGGGTAAAGGAAGGCAAAAGCAGCACAGCCTGTCTCCAAAGTCAAAAATACCTCGTAATCATCAGAAGAGTGGCCCAAAAGACCCAAATGACGCGGTATTCAAAGGCCGGATTGCACATAAAGATGGGACGCAGTGCACATGGGCAGCCACAGAAAGCAGCGTTGAAGATGATGGTACATTTGTCTTGAGCATCAACTGCAAAAAGGACACTGAAAAGAGTCTCCATTGCGAGTACACAGCTAAACCCAGGTTGTGTCCTGAGTACACATCCAAAACTGATGCGTTCTGGAAACAGATTGGCCGCTCGCTCAAGAACCAGAAGAACTTATGCCATGACTCCAAAGCTCTGCTCAAGCCTAGAATATGCAGAAAAGCACCTAGGGACGCACACTTTGCTCTCAAAACCACTCCAAAGGTCAATCCAACTTCTATGACGAAGAACAAGCCATGCCCAGACCTTATTAATAGACAAAAATTGGCTGAGGAGTATTGCAGCAACGCCTGGTCTTCAGTCTGTACCTTCTTCTTTGCTATGGTTGAGACTGAGGATTGCTGAATGAGACACTGAATGCTAATGCTACATGCTTGATGTCAAACCAGAACTTCAGTATTTTTGGAATGAGATTAACACTGTGTTTGAAATCCTACTCACAATTTCCTACATTGGAGAATTAGAAGAACTACACTAAATGGCCAAACCTATGTGGACACCTGACCATTACACCATCATGCCACTGTGTACAAAGCGAGCTCCATGAAGACTTGTTTTGCCAAGGTTGGAGTGGAAGAGTTTGAGTGTCCAGACCTCAACCCCACTGAACATCTTTGGTCTTGTGGCTAAATGGGTGCGCCTTCCCAGAAGAATGGGGGTTATTATAACAGGGGACTAAATCTAAATTTGGAATAGGATGTTCCAACAAGCATGTATAGGTGTAACTGGTCAGATGTCCTCAAGCTTTTGACCATATATTGTATGTAGCAAGCTAATAATGGTGATGGAATGTTCATAATTCAAAGGAAATCATTGTTTAAATGAACAAACCAATCAAATTAATGTGTCTGTAAACACAACTATTCACTAAACCATACAGTCAATTGTGGATATTCTGATTAACTGTACTGTATATATTGTAGTGTAAAGATTTGCTTTCAAGCACCATATAATCAATCAACAGTGCTGAGGTGGGATTCGAGCCCCCAACCCCAGAGGAACTTTTAAAAAGATAACACAATTCAAACACATTTTGTGCTAAGTATAAACTGCAATCTGTGTCTTATCCAGACTGGATATTTATCCATAGATTACAAATACACACATTGCTACATTTAGCGCTGAGGTGTGTTTTGAACCTCAAAGAGTGTGTGAAATGTGATTGGTTGATTCGTGTCATTAATTCCTGTGTGGTATAATACTGTGTAAATACATATAGTATGTGTACATAGAATATACATAGTACTACATACACTGCACATACAATATTGTATGCTTTGTTTGAGTCATTCAATCATTTATCCATTCATTCATTCATGAACCACACACACACATTTGAAGAGGCACTGTAGTAATAAAATCACAGCACTTCCACATCACATAATTCAACCAGTAGCTTTGTTGTGTTTTATAGGTCATTCATTGAATCAAACCAAACACCTTCAGACACTCCCTGTTTAATAAAAGCAGCATGTAGACTTCAATGGAGAAACAATCTGTTCGCAGTGTGTGGAGGATGAATAGTGGGGGTTATATGGTGCTTGTTGAAAACGTATTATTTTTGGTAATTTAAGCATTATCACCCGAGCAAGAGTGCGGTAGCTCATCTCAGCCGTGACGCTATTCAGTATAACTGAACGATCGCAAGTGCAAGATTGCTTTTATACAACAGTTCTTTAAGCAAGAAATTAATATTGAGTAACTGACATTTCGGACACAATATGGCCAGATGTTTTGTTTATTTTTGCTCCGCTAGCAGAAACCGACCCGAAAGAAGACCCTCATTTACAGCCTGTCGGCTAGCTTGCTAGCTAGCTCATATTCATTTTAACGTTCCCATTAAAGGTGCTTCCAGTGAAACTGGCCTCCCTTCTTCCTTTCATATTTTAAGTCAAACGTTATATTCGTAAACAATGTATTGTTTCCCATGTCCGCTGATGATGCCGCCTACTCTACTGTAGTTACAGTTTCAGACGAGTGAAGTGATGCACAGTCCCAGTGCAGTGATACTACTCAAGCAGACTCGAGTCAAATTGAGTCGTACCGTGCAGTGGAAAAGCGCCATAAGTATAGGCACTCTTGGAACACCGTCGACCAATCATATTAATGGAACTAACTGTTGTATAATATTAAATAAATTACCCAGTTTCTGGAAAATCTTTCTCATACCAGCATGATTAAAAATCAATCTGAAGACCTATGCCAGGTTTCAGTGCCTTACTTTCTGGTTTAATTAATGTGGAAGGAAAAAGCAACACACACACACACACACACAAATCCTGATCTGACCTTCAAGAAATGTTACTTCCTGGTAGGTGGAACTTGTTGAAATATGTCTATTCAGACCAAGGTGGCCTGATTACACACCTAGCTGTTCTGATTTCTGATTGGCCCTTTCCCCCACTCCTTTTTTTTTCCAAAAAAAAAATCCTTCGAAACGGATTAAGAGCTATGAATGCACTGAAAGGGTTTAATGATAGGATTTAGGCTGTGGAACCACACACATTATTATTATTATTATTATTATTATTATTATTATTGTTAGTAGTAGTAGTAGTAGTATTTTTAACATGAATCCACATCTGAATGGTCCACTATAATGTCACATTAAACTCACCTAGGATCCACAGAGAATGCTATTTCATTTCCCATTCATGAAATTCAAACTCACCTGGAAGTTCTGCATTCATTCTGGCCTCAGAAATCACACATAATGAACACAGGCAGCCCTCAAGACTCCCACATGACGTTGTCTATCTGTAACGCATGTCGAAAATGCGACTAAAACAGGAATACACCATATCTTCATTCGATTTGTGTTTACTTCGAGTATGACTTTAATAAAGTTAAAAAAATAGCTATTTACATGCTAGTTCAAAGTATTGTATTAATCAGGTTAATATTGGATTGTTGACGTACTGAATGTCATCATCAACCATCCTTATTCCTTCTTCGGGGTCGCGGGGAACCTGGAGCCTATCCCAGGACAGCATCGGGCACAAGGCGGGGTACACCCTGACAGTCCATAGCAGAACAATCACATACACATACATTCATACATTATGCGAACATGCAAACTCTACACACACATGGCCCCGGCGGGAATCGAACCCGGAACCCCATTCAAGGTGTGAGGCGAACGTGCTAACCACTAAACCACCGTGCGCCCATGTTATCATCACAGTGATAACAGAACAGCAAAATAGACAACGGTTTGGTAAGTAAGAGTGAGAACAACTGAGTGTTACTTAAAGTAGAGGTACCGGAGTACTGCAGCCACAACATCCAGGCTCCCGGACAGTTTATATCCTTAGGACATCAGACTGATCAACAGTAGTCACCCACTACCACCCCCTTCCTGAAAGGCCATCAAGATAAGAGCAACATACTTTTCCCGTAACAACACAACACCTTTCGTAATAACAAGATGCTTTTCTTGTAATAATGTATTGTTTTTCTAGTAACAATTAGATGGATTCCTTGCAATAACAAGATGATATAATATTGTGATGTTTGCTAATAATAATGAGTTTTCTTATACTTTCCAATAATAATAATAATAATAATAATAATAATAATAATAATAATAATAATAATAATAATAATAATAATAATAATAAATATAAATGATAGCAGCAATTATCAGGTTTCAAGCTGTTTAGGGCCCTTAGACATGAAAAAATATTATTTAATATTGTGCAATCCTACAAGCACCTAAGTCAAAGAAAAAAGATCATTTTAAGAAACATCTGCTTTCATTAAGCTTGTCTAACAGTTGCTGAACGTTGATTGACCAATGACAATCACAATTGTCCTTGCATAGACGGATTGGACCTTGGACAAGGACAAGTCTTGCAAGATTTATTTCTAATTTAAAAAATTTATGAATTTAATAATCACAAATATTTAACGAAGAATTTTATGGACAGCAGTGGTCTTAGAGGCAAAGTTGTTCGGAATGAGGAGATCTAACGTATGATACAACGAATAGGTGTATGTCTGACACATTGGATAATATATAATCATTTACACACCATTTATACACCCATTTTCATGGGGTTTTTGTACACATAGCACCACCAAGTGGCCAAACTCCTCAATTTTTGTCAAGTGACCTCAGACAGAGTCCATTTGGTGAAAATATTTCATTCCATCACCCTGTCCAGGGTGTACACGGCCTTGTACCCGATGCTCACTGGGATAGGCTCCAGGTTCCCCCGCGACCCTGAAGAAGGAGTAAGCGGTAGAAGATGGATGGATGGATTTCATTCCATTCAAGAGTTATAGGCATTTAAGTAAAATGGTCTCCTGATGTTACACAGCTCTTTGGGCTTGAACCCCTAAAAGGTTGGGACGCTGTGTTAAATATAAATAAAAACAGAATGCAATGATTTGCAAATCTCATAAACCCATATGTTATTCAAAACAAAACATATCAAATGTTTAAACTGAGGAAATATACAATTTTAAGATTTTTTTAATTATTATTTGATGGCCCCAAAATGTCTCAAAAAAGAAGGGTTGCTGTGCAGTGTCCAGTCTCACAGCTGTCTAACTAGTCCATGGTGACAGGATTCACCAAATCAGGGAGTCTCTCCTTCTGCATCTGCATCTCGCTTCCAAATCACACAATTCAACCAGCAGCTTTTTAATTCGGCTTTGTTGCGTTTTATAGGTCATTCATTGAATCAAACCACACCTTCAGACACTCCCTGTTTAATAAAATCAGCATTACACATACCTATTTAAAGTACCTAAATATCTTCAATAGTCATCAATGTTAATATTAAAACATGTTGACAAAAAAAGAAACATGTAGAAAAATAATAAGATTAAAGGGTCATGAAACCTCCCTCTTTCAGCTCAAGTCTACCTTTCAATGTTTTTGAAAACTGTAGCTTAAATTGGGGGTGGATGGCTGTGCGAAGAAGGGAGGTGGAGAGGGCGTGGCAGCGGAGGAAGAGGGGGGAGCGAGCCTTCAGAACACTCACAATAAAGATTCATAGTGACAAAAAGTTTGCAGATGAGGCAGAGAACTTCTCTCCTCCTGAATTCCCAGGGCAAAATGGAGATGCAATGGATATCAGTGCAGGTCCTACGCCCTGTCTGTTTAAACCATCAGCCCCTAACGTGACTATGGAGGAAAACAAAACATAACCGGGGGCAGCTCGGATGAGAGAAGTGTCGAAATGGTAGCTAGCTAATAGGCTCAAGCTTTTCATAAATAAAAGGAGAAGGCTCATCTTTAATGTGAACTCTCGTTGTATAGTTTTGCACGCAACATCATGCGAAGCTTTAAATGGTTTAAATGGCAAGTAAAACTGTCATGGTTAAAAATTAAACACATGCCTCATTTGAAGGGAGGGAAAAGTCCTCGGGACTGAGCATCGCATCATTGTGTAGATGTCCGAAGTCCACCTTTCTCCAATTCTCTCACCCAAGAAAACACATTTGAACTCTTACACCACTGAAAAACACCTGCGATCCATTTGGAGCCTTTCACATCTACTACATCAGTAGGAAAGCACCTTGTGCTGTCAAGAATAATTAAGAGACAGCATCTTCTCATAGAATAAGAACACTCAGACTTGTGAATATTTATGAGACACCAACGCATCGTCGATGTACTATAGTACATTGCTATGTCACTGCCTGTGACATGTGACACTGCAAGATTTTAAACCAGGAAGACGAAAATAACGAGGAAAAAGCTAAAAATTTACCGGTTTTCTCAGACAGTCAAAATTAACGGATGCTAAGATTGTCTTTTATGATGTGTGACATGGACGCCTCTGTTAAAATTTCAGAAAATGTAGTTTAGTGTTTCGTGGTGCTTTAAATCAATATTAACAATCAATCATCTGTGGAGAAATGTATGTATCCAACAAACTAACGCTTCACAAAAACTGCTTTATCTTGGAGAAGATGTCTGAGGTGAGACTCCTGTCATATGCTATCCTGGAGAGTTCACGACCCTCAATGCTGTAAGACAGAGAACAGGACAGAATAACAGACAATGTTAATCACAGTCGCTCATCACTGTCCTTTTAAACAACATCAGTGAAAAAAGCTCGCTCTCTCTTTCTCTCTCTCTCACACACCCACACATTATCCAGTATGATACAGTAGATTAAAGAGACAGTAAGTCAGTAATTCACTGTAGTGTCTGCAGTTTACAATGTAGATCCATCAGTAGACCAGAGTGCAGCTCCATGCCTGATTCTCCTGGATTATTACCGTTCAGATCCAGCTCTCTCAGGTGTGAAGAGGCGTTTGACCTCAGAGCTGAAGCCAGAGCAGCAATACCTTCGTGTAACACTGCAGCTACACATACTGCAAGAAAGAAAACCTTCTTACACTTAACACACTCAGTTTTAGCTCTGAAAACATCAACTACACAAAATCTTTATATACAGAACTTTTACTCTCTCTCTCTCACACACACACACACAAACACAACAATGACAATATATCACATCACTACAATTACAATCACCACAGATGGAAACTGGATGTAGCTGCATTTATTGAAACACTGTTCTGTGTGTATGTGTATGTGTGTGTGTGTGTGTGTGTGTGTGTACCTCAGTATCTCCAGTGAACAGTGTAGATTCTCCAGTCCAGCAGAGAGCAGCTTCAGTCCTGAATCTTGCAGGTTATTGACACTCAGGTCCAGTTCTCTCAGACTAGATGAGTTTGAGCTGAGAACTGACCTCTACAGCTTTCCTTTGTCAGTTTACACCCCCACAGCCTGGGAGAGAAATGATGAAATATCAGATCACTGATATCAAACACACACAAACAGCCATAATCCAGCTGAAGTTGACCATGTAACAGAAATGTGTGTGTGTCTCTCACACAAAAATCAGAGGACAGGACACCACATCAGCACATTTCCAGGAGCAGCCATGCCTTTCTGCACCAGTTAATAACATCCCAATACTGGTGTAACTTCACAGTGAATTATATGTTGAAATTTTACAGAGACAGTGAAACAGTTGGTGTGCCACCATTACCAGTTACAATGATCCTTAATCAAATGAAAACAGAAGGGTTTTTTGTTTGAACAAATGCTTTATTATAATTGAACCTCGAAACCATTTTTAATGAAGGTATGTGTTAAAAGTCTTCCATTTTAAAATAAATAAATCTCCCATTTGAACATAAGAAAATTAGGAGGAAAAAGGAGCAGAACCTGCTGTGGCTTTATTTGGAAATATTTTCGTTGGTGAAACAGAACAGAAACAGACCATATTGAGTGTAAAATGTAAGTTAGATAATATTATTGTTTACATGTTAACACAGCATGTTAAATTAACTACTAAATAAAACGATCAGCAGCTCAGAGATCTGGGCTGGTGTGTGTGTGTGTGTGTGTGTCATTTAGAGGTGAAGAGTCAGGACACAAACCCATGAGATCAGTGTTTATTAGGGCATATACAAAAATCATCATCACGGATCAAAGTGTAGCCAGTAAAAAAAAGAGTAAACTATTGAACTCTAAAAGAAGAACCCAAATTTCTGCTGCTGTGTGCTGTCTGATTTACCCAACATGGCCGAGTACGCTGCGCCCCGAGACGATCCCCACGGAATCTCTAAGAGCTCACGGGGCACCAGAGGCTACCTCACACCTCCTGCCAATGTCTGAAACGTATAAATAAACCTCTTCATCAGCATCCCTTTGTTCTCAAAAATCAAATTAAACATTCTGAAGCAGTCAAACTACTGAATTTGCCTTTTGTTTACTCTCTTATGCTGCAAGCCGTTGTACTAAAACTCGTAAAACCACAACGTCCCTCCCTCATGGAGAAGTGCGATGGAAGAGTTGTCTACTGTCCTGAGATCTCACACACACACACGACATCAAAATGATACGGGGGTGCTCAAGTGGTCAACACTAAACAGATTTCCCCTCACTGTATTTTCTGATATGAAAAAAAACACCCCCGTGCCCATATTTTTGTGGGTCCCCGGACCCCCGCCCCCCCGCCGGGGGCTCCCCCCCCCCCCCCCCCCCGGCCCCCCCCCCCTTTTTTGTTTTCTTTAACAACCCTCTTTTTTTTTTTTTTCTCCCCCTTTTTCTAACACACCCCCCCCAAAAAAAAAACTTTCTTTTTTTTTTTCTCTTTCTCCTTTTCCCCCTTTTTTTTTTTTTTTTTTTTTAAC